CCCGACGAGCCAGGCAGAGCTGCCTCCCTTCCTGAGAGGAGCTGGCCCTTAACTGAGGTTCACAGAAGCTCATCTCCGCCGTCTCCGCAGACTACGCCCGGAGTCTGAGGAACCTGGGCTTCAGGCAGGGGGCTGCTCTTTTTGCCTCCAAAGCTGGAGCCGCGGGCAGAGGTTTGCTGGGTGAGCTGGAGAGCCACAAGGAAGAGCTGATGGAGGAGTGAGGGGCCAATCGGGCCAGGAGTACCTGACCGTGGGAGCCGCTGGGGCGAGGCCAGCCTGACTGTGGGCATCATCACAGCCCTGTGGAGGAAGAGGAGGCGGCCAGGCTGACCCTGCAGTGCATCTGCTCCTCAGCGGGCCTTTGGGGGCCGTTTGTCCAAATGCGTGCACGGCAGACTATGAGCCTGTCCAGCGAGACGCCAGCCCTGCATCTCGTATTCCCTGCAGAGGACACGCCAGCGCGGACGACTGAACACGTAGAACCTTTTATACATGGTAGAAGGGGAGCATTATGAGTCCCTGGAAATTCCTTCTTCCTTTTTTTTAATTAAGAGTTAGGAGACTGACCTGCCTTCTCGGGCCCACACTGAAGGCCGCAGGGAGAGGCTGTGGTGAGATTAGCTGGTGGCTTGTTCTTCAGTCTCGTGCGTGTCTGGAGACGCAGCCCACACCCAGAGGGGCAGACAGGCCATTCCAGAAAGTGCAGTGGAAAGATGGTAGGTTTGTTCTCGGTGTCTGAGCGGTGGACAAAGCGTTGAGCTGGCTGTGTCCTGGGTTGGGTGTCGTCTCGGCTCCGGAGCATGTCTTCAGCTTCCTGCTCTGTCCCAGGGGTGCTGTGGGGTTCACCCCTCGTGCGACATTCAGTGGCCTGGCTTCTCCAGTCTCTCTGCTCAGTGTGTCCTCCCATGGCTGAAATAAATATGTGAGCATTGACTTAGAAATCACGCTAAGAATGTAAATGGCTAGGATGTGCAGGTGAGAAATAAAAAGAAGGTTCCCTGCAGGCTCGCGTGCCACTCTGTCTGTGCTGTGGGCGGGGGAGGGAGACCTACTGCGGCCAGGACTGAACTCGGGACCGGCCCTAGGCTCGTGTGGCGTCCTGAGGAAACCAAGAGACACCAAGGAGGGCTGGACAAAACAGGACCCGCAAGCATCCTCTGAGAGTGACTAGGCACAGCACACAGCCACGGTGGCGCCGAGAAGCCCTCCCAGCAGGCAGTGTGCTGAGCTGTGTGTCAGCTGATGGTCACCCGACATGGAGGACTGGTGGGCCTGCTCTCCCCTCCCCCCCCCTCCCCCGGTCCCCAGCCTCTCTTCTCACTCCCAGTGCTGCTCATTGATGCCCCTGGTGACTGAGACTCAGGGACTTGCTGGGTCTGGGAGGCTGTTCTAGGGACAGCAGTGACACCACTCTCAGCACCTGCCATCACAGGGCTGGGGTGACCAGAGGTCTGAGCTGCTCAGGTAGCTCCTTCACAGAGTGTGGTGCAGGGCCACCTGAATCGTTGGGCCGGTGGGTGACGCAGAAGGATTAATGTCTGTTGCTTGCATGGGCATGGGACTGAGCAAGTAAGTCTTTCCAGGCCCAGAAACTAAATGGGGAAGGGATGAAAACAAAAACACTTGAACCAAACCGTAAAACAATGAGTGCTTTTCAGATTTCTGAATCATGGATAGAACAGGAAACAAGTGTAGAATAAAGCTCATGTTCCTGAGGGCAGACTCACCGGACCAGTGGAGACCAGACACTAAACTTTGAACACAAACTGTCCCCCGAGATCACCTCTTGGTGAAAGACAGAACACAGGCCGGTACTGGGAGTGGAACGCGGTCTCTGAGCTCACACGTCACTGCTCATTGAAACCCACCATCACCTCGCCTCTCCGTTTCTGAAGGGAATTTTCACCGGGCATTTTAGTGTGACAGACTTCTTTCTCTCAACACTTTGTAGATGTTCCATCATCCTTCACCTTCCACTCTCTCCCTTGAGAAGTCAGTCGTCAGCTTGACCGACAACAGCATTGAAACTGCCTAATGAGTTCTGACCGTTAGACCTGGCTTATAAAGCGTGCTAGAGAAAACTGGAGGCACCGCGTCACACTGTCTCCCCAGAGAGGGCTGGCTTCTGCTTACTGCAGGCAGCCAAGTCAGGAGCAGAGAACACTCTGCTTGCTCCCAAAGAATGGCTGGTGGCCTGGAAAGGACCTTATAGTTTGCAACCCAACGCGTGCGCAGGGCGCCGATAAACCAGAACAGAGATGGTTACAGTGCTGGCTTTTAGCAGCCCCCCTCCTAACCCAGTGTACCACCAAGGCGCCTGGAAAATAGAACCCAAACCCCAAATACTGCCATCTAGTCAATGCCGACTCATAGTGACCCTACTGGACACGGCAGACTGCCTCTGAGTTTCCAACACTTTATGGGAGTAGAAAGCCTATTTTTCTCCCACCGAGAGACTGGTGGTTTCGAACTGCTGACCTTGCAGATCGCAGCCCAACACTCACAACGCCACTAGGGCACCTTTTAAACACGAGAGATCCCTAAATAGCTGGTTTTCAAACGGCTGTGCACCAGAATTACCCAGAGGCCTAACCGAAGGCCCACGTGCACAAGTGAGGCAGACACCAGTGACCAGAGAAAGTGCCTTCCTATAGGTTTGCAGAGGACTGACCTGGCTCATGGGGAGGCAGGGGCCTCGCTGAGTGTCCCCGTGTGGCTGGCAGAAACCATTGTCCATTCTGAGCCCCACGTTTCCAGCTCTTGGTAGAATATGGCTCTTGAGTAGTGGGCCATGCGCGGCAATACCAGGAGATGGCCAGCAGAGGGAAGTCGAGGCCCGGAGATGAAGCCCAGCGGCTGGAACCTGGCCCCTTCTGCTGACCCACACCTATTGGTGACTCCAAACTGCAAGGAACACGCCAGTTGCAGTCCGCCCAAGTTCTCCGGGACTCAAAAAACAACCCACTGTCATCAAGTCCACGCCGACCTACAGCAACTCAGTTTAAATGGAGCTACCCCCGTGGGGTGTAGGGAGCAGAAGCAGACAGCCACACCTTTCTCCTGCCGAGTATGGCTCTGAGCCAGCGCTTAACCCGCTGCACCACCAGCCCCCTGTGACTAGGAGAGCTAAACTATTGTTTGATTAAGGAGTCCACGTTTACAGCTTAGAGTCAGATCCTTAGAAACCATCTTCCCGCCCCCCTGCACGGGGGAGTTTGGGGGGACTCAGGCCAGCAGCACTAGCATGGGTGTTCCTGGCCGGCAGTGGCTCAGCCCTGGGTACCGGGGACTGGAGGCCTGGTAGAGGTGGGTGTCTCAAGGCCACGGGAAGGGCGGAGCGGCTTCTGGAATTTCCACCTGTAGATTTAGAGCTCCATGTGCAGCTGCGAAGGGGGGTCTCCCCACAACTATGTCATCCCAAGGCTGCAGACTGCATCTTCCCAGCCAGTCTGCAAACAGCCCCACCCCCAAGCCTCTCAGGTTTCTGCCAGTGGGTGAGAGCGACAGGGTCCACAGCACCTTTCTGGGTGGGCAGTCAGCTCCTCACACTGGCCTCCAGGGTCCCTGCACCCCCCATCACATCAGGTGCATATTAATACAGCCTCAGGTGGGATTCTGAGTCTGTCTTCTCCCCCACACCTGCCCTCAGAGAAGGATGGCTGGGGAGACAGGAAAGGGGTCTCAACAGACGCTAGAAACTATCTGTGGGCTGTGCCAGGACCCAGGGCCACCCACACCCGCACTATGGTTCTTTTCTGGGGTTGCTAACCGGGCCAGCGGCCAGGGGTTCGAACCCAGCAGCGGCTCCGCAGGAGAAATGGGCGATCTGCCCCCATAGGGGTCCAGCCTCGGAAACGCGATGTATTCCAGTGTTGCTGTGCATCAGACTCAACTCCACGGTTTGGGTACCGAGGCTGGCAACCGCCCGCCTCTACCGGGGTGGACCACTCGGTTCAGGAACTTTCCCCCAACATCCCCAAGACGTCCAGGATTTGAGCTGTCTGGCGCGCGCACAGCATCCCTTGCGGTGCAGTAAGGATCAGGGTTGCACTCAGCGCACTGAGCACCTGGGCTGTGGACCACCCACACACACACTGGGGGGGGGGGGGGGGCCCCCCCCCCCCCCGGGGGGGGGGGGGGGGGGGTGCTCACCCCAGACCTCCAGTATCCTGGGATCTGCCTTCTCTGGGACTCAGGTCCCTGTGGGCCTGCCCCCTCCCTCTGTCCCCTCTCAGGCCTCCCCTCCTAGGGGCGCCCTCTTCACAGCGTCCCCCTTGCTTAGGGCCTCCGGGCCTTGACCATGACCGGGCCCTGCCCACTGGGCCCGCATCAGGTATGCTCACAGTGTTTGGTCTGAGAGAGACCCAGGGTGGAGACAGAGACAGGCGGAGCACCCCAGAGTTTTTCCTACACTACCACCTTGCGGGGGTGGGCGGGTGGGGGACGATGGCCACACCTCTCTTCCGCAGGCTTCTGGGCGGGCCCATGTGCCGCCTCTCTTTGGCTAGCACAGGGAGCACTTCACGGGCGCACCACCAACGCTCCTTGTAGACCCCCTTCCCCTCCGGGGGTCTGGGCCCAAGACAGCTAGGCCTGCTGGGGGACGCGCACCGGGGAGGTGGGGTGCAGGGAGGGCGCCCCGAGCCCTGGGGAAGCCGCCCTCGGAGCCAGCGTGTGCGGACCTGCTCGCAGGGCAGGCACGCCCGGAACTGTCTCTCTGGGTGTCCTCGTTTGGAAATCAAGCTCCCTAACAAAGATACGAAACGATTCTCAGGCAAAGACGCGACTGGCGCTGACCCCCAAAGGAGGCGGCAGCCAGGCCCGATGGGCACCCCATCGTCTCATTCCTCTTGTCAACAGGCTTGTTCTTGGCTGGTACCAGCCCTGACCTCACCCCCCAAACCCGCCACACTGGTTCATACCCAGCTTCACAGCTGCTGTCCGTCACCCCCAAGTGCCTGCCTCTGCAGGGCTGCAACTGAAGTGGGGGAGGCGCCCACCCGCTGGTTTAGAGACACCCAGCTGGAATCCCTGGGCGGCCCCCGTGGGTAAGCATTGTAGGACTAGCCCCCAGGCTGATGGTTCAAGTCCACTCTGAGGTAGGTGCCCCGGAAGACTGTCCTGGGGGTCTCCTTCAGAAAGGTCACAGCATAGAAACCCTTAGCTGTAGTTCCACTCTGAAACACACGGGGTCGCCCTGAACCAGGACGCCCTGGACAGCCCGTGGTTTCGCTCATTTTTATGTCTTTCCCAGGCCAAGTGCCCTTGTCCGGGCTCTCAGCGCCACCGAGTCACTTCTGACTCAAAGCGCACACATCAGCTTTGATGTCAGGGCTGGTTTCAGCCAAGAGCAAGTCACAACGTACAGAAGGTGGGGGGGGCTGCCTCTGTGGGGTTCCACGACTGTGACCCCACGGGAGTAGAAAGCCCCGTCTTTCTGCTGACCCTAAAAATGGCTCAGAAAAAGCAAAGGCTCTCAGGGCACAGGTGACAGCTCAGTAAATACGGCTGGTCTGGAAGCACCTGTTCAGAGGTTGAGTTCAGGCCCCTGCACCTGGAGCTGATAAGGCAGGGAGAGAACTGTAGGGCCGACAATGACCCCTCGCTGGAGCATACCGCGACGGAGGACAATGCTGGGGGCACACGCAGGGGAGTTAGTCCGGTCTGAATCCCCCACAGCAGGGAGAACCAAGAAGGGAACATAACAGATAGCCACGGGAGCAAAGCCAAGCCACAAAGCCCCCGAGGAACCCCCAAAATAGACTTCAGGCTAGGACGTCAGTTCCCAGAGTCCCCCAGGAACAGTGGGGAGACAGTCATAAAGGTCAGCAGACAGACCTGGAATTATGTATGCGTTTTGTTTGTTTTTGCTACTTGTTATTGTTATTTCTCTTTGTATTAACAAACAAACAAAAACCGCCTCCAGGCTCTGTTGCGCTCCCTGGTGGCCAATTCCTTCCGCCCTTGCTAAATGAGAACATCAAGCCCAAGGCCAGGGAGTTC